TATATATATATAATGAAAATCAAAGATAATTGTTATGGTGTGGCTCATATACCATATAGGGCCAGACGTTGGAACGAAGCGGAGCGGAAGAGTCTGTCCAAATCGTGAAATTACGTTATGTTGGTTTTAAATTGATCATCTTGGCAAGACGGATCTAACGGGCCAAATATCTCTGAATCTGGCAAGTGGAACAAGAGATTCATAGACTCAAATTTATGATCGAATGAAGTAAATTTGGCGAGATGAACCAATTTAGGTCTACGCGAGCTTATATCATGCACTTTAAGCATTTGGCGAGATGAACCAATTTAGGTCTACGCGAGCATATATCATGCACTTTAAGCATAATAATAATTGGTTTTAATGCATACTTTGGATGACCAAAAATATCAACCTCATTCCAAGAATACTCAAGGGAAGAAAATAGTTTTATATTATGATGTCTTTAAACTAGTGGATAAATACGTGGGCTTTGACTTTGTATAGCATGGTTCTTTGAAGTTCAATGGAGATGATGCACCGCCAACACAAAAGGACATGCCCAAGGTCAGAAATCAATGTGTAATATCAAAATTTAGGTTTTATGTCATTTGCCAAGAGTCAATTTTGGGATCATTTTGATCATGAGACTTCATACCTTACTTGATATTGGTTTTGATTAGTGGATTTGGGCTTGGATTGGGGGATTCTAGGGCTTTCGAGTTTATTCATGGTGAATTTTGGAATTGGTTCTTGGGCTTTAGGTTTGGGCTTGAATTTAGCTCATGGTTGCTTCAATCAAGCTCGAAAAATGAACCGATTCAATGTTGGAAAATCTATCATGAAAAGTGGTCCACCAATGTATTGAATTTGTGGTTTTGAATTGGGTGTAAAAAATGAATCAAATTTATTTTTTCAGAAATTTTTATTTATGATTGATTCTTTTGAAAATTGATTTTATTTTTGATTTAATGATAAAATCTATGTACATGAACGTAAGTGTGGGTGTGATGTGAATTGTTATGTTTCAAAAATTTAAATTTTTAAGTTCAAAAGGTCTCACAGGGCTTCTTTAATCCTCATAGGAACACTACTTGAGTTTCGATATGTTGGACTCAATCGACTCAACTAAGTGTCGGGGATTTGAAACCACACATATGAGACTACAATGAGTCAAGAGGCAGCTTGAATTTCTAATTGGTGTGAGTCCCGATATTAGTCCCCTAAGAGAGTCTGTAGAGAAGTCCTATGACTAGATCTTAGGCATTAGAGAGGAATGTATAACTCACCAAAGATGAGAGCAACAATATGATTCGATTAATCCTTATACAAATCGTTATGGATCGAATATGGTCTGGGCAAAATCCTCAAAAAAAATATTGAAGTAAATTAAGATTGCGGTATTTATGTAAAAGGTCTTTAATTTCACGTTATAGTTTTAATGGTACATATTCAGACCATGATATGTTCTTTATTGTGCTATGCTATTTGGATTGAATTTAATTTGATTTTAAAACGATATAAATGTAATCTGTTTCCATCCCCTAAAAAATGATCTTTTTTATTCTACAAATTTAATTCAATATATTTAATTATTTTTAACTAAAATAGTATATATTAAAAATATTAAATATTAAAAATTGTTTAATTTGATATGCAGAATAAATAATATCTATATCAATCTTTTTGTCATATAATTATTCATAATTTATAAAATCCATTAATTTAATTTTTTAAAAAACTAAATGTAATTTAATTGATTACCTTCCTCTTCCTCTTTTGACTCCCCCCTTACTGCCATGTGGGAAAAAAATCTCTCCTTTAAAATAGTGTTCATGAATACTAATCACAGAAAAAGGTCAAAGCTTTACATTTCCTTTCCTCCTCCTCTTTCTTCTTATTCTTCCTTCTTCTTCTTCCCAAAAGGTGCATTTTGGGTTATTTGCAGTGGGAAGAGGTCTGAAGGACCTGCGTGGAAATAGCAACAATTCAGCTGAAAAGGACCCCGCACCTATAAATCCAAAATGTCATGAATCTCCCCGGCTTTATGCTTTACCGGAGTTCTTTTGGGATTGCGACAAACATGGCGACGAAATGAGGAGTAATCGAGTGTAGAAAAACCCAAAAGGCATGTCTTCTCTTTGACTTCTTTGCTGCTGGATTATTTGTTGGGATTGCGACAAACATGGCGACGAAATGAGGAGCAATCAAGAGTAGAAAAACCCAAAAGGCATGGCTTCTCTTTGACTTCTTTGCTGCTGGATTATTTGCAGAGCATCGCTTACTTTCATGGCTTTTGTTATCGTAATTGAAGTCATGTTGGATTTTAGGTTTTGGAAATTGTTTGTTTGCTGTTCTTGTTTACGAATTGGGAATTGGGATGAGAGCAGGTTTGTTGAGTCTTATTGGGGGTTTTTTTACTAGGTTTTGGGTGTTGGATTTTCTGTTTATTGATCAAAATCTTAGCCCACATATTCAACAGCGGATTAATTTTAGATAAAATCTTTGCAAATTGACGATTTATGGATCATGATTATGATGATGCTCTGAGAAAGAACAGATTGAATTGCTTTTGAAAATTTTTTTTTGGGGCTTTTGAGAATTAAGTTTCTGTTAATTCTACTTTCTCTATGATTTTCTTGCTGAGGCTGTGATGATTGTTTTTATATAGTTTCAGTCATGTTAAACAAATATTTTCATGACTGATTTTTTTTTATTATAGTTTATTAGTCATATTTGCATTTCAAGGAGTGTCTCTGAGTTGCAAACTATTGTTACACATCATTAAATTAGGTCTAAAAAATGATCTTTTGATTTTCTTTCCATATTTTGATTTCACTTGCATCTAAAATCACATTAACTATATTTGTATGTGTTAATGGAAGTTATACTTTTTTTTTTTTCTAAATATCTTATTTTGATTGATGAAATTTCTTGTTGATTTGTGTCTTAAATGGTGTCTTTTTTGTTTTTTTGTTTTGCTTTTCTCCTATTCAGAAAATTTAATGTAAGATTGATTGAATATTGTTTCAATGTGTGCATGTTTAATGACAGTGGTGGTGTCACTGGTGTGGTGATTTGTAATTAGGAGTTTTAGAAAAGCTGTAAACTTAACAAATATATCATTTTTCATCTTTGTCCCATGATTTGTTATTTCCAATCTTAGTTACTAGGAGGATTTACATATAAGCCACTTAATTCTTATTTATTTACATATCTAACATATAAACTTCAATTTTTTCTTATGCGCCGCCTTTCCTATGCTTGAGAAGATGTATTTCATGGTGAAAAAGTTAAAAGAGTTGCATTTTTAATGTGATAAGAAAGATTTTTGTGATATGAATGTAGAAAAAGTAAAGTTATATGTAAAAATGTAGGAATTGAGTGGTATTTATTACCACCTGTAAATATTTAGGAAATATTTCTATCCTTTAAGAAAGATAAATACTTGATAATAATTTTGTCATTTTATTTACATAAGCGTAGAATTTGTATAAGTGCTTCAATAAGTCTTCTCAATTCAATCGATTATTTTTCTTAAATGATTTATTTGCATGTTTTTGTTTGTCTTTAACTATGATTTACTTTCAAAGGCTTTTAGCTCAATTTTGGTAGGATATAATTAAATCAAGCTTTTGATAAATTTTTGAAACCTTTGCTAAGCTTAGTTTGGTTTATCCCTAACAAAGTAAGCTCTAAGCTTGAATATTGTTATACTTATCCTTGCTTCGTTTTTACACCCATAGTCTGAATCGATTTTGCGCATATTTAGCATAAAGGCTTACTCAATGTAGTTGGTAATGACTATTGCCTTTTTTTCATTAGAAGAACTGACAGATGTTAGTATGCTGACTAAGTATGTTCCAAGTTTGATGATAAAGAAAAGGGCATGTTAAAATGGTTAAATTACTTGTTCATTGGAAAGGAATGTAACTTTTTTTATAAGAAGAAAACAATGAAAATAACTATTACTTGCAGTAATGCAACAATTTTAGACACTCTTTAGAAATTTTTATTATCCATATTTCAGTCTGAGTACTAAACATTGCAAATTATTGTGGGCTCCAAAAATTCATGTCTGGCTCTCTTTGAGAGAGTTTGTGAGCTTAAGTAAAAATTTTTAGAAAGTAGATTAGATTTTTGATGATGCACTACTCATAGATTTCTCTCTTATTTTGTGAGAGCTCTTTGATTTGGTTCTAGGTTTCAAATTTCTCGTAAGTGCAAGTTTCTTTTATTCATTACCCATCTGAATAGTGAGATGGAACATTTCACTAAAGCTAGTTGGTACACTCAAAGTGCTAAGAGTAGAGTATAATGGTAGCAATTTTTTATTTGATATTGATAAAATTATTTTCTTTAACTTAGATTTTATATATCTAAGATAGGTGCATGCCTAAATGAATAATTCTAAGTCAACCATAACAAACAAGGAGTTGTATGCCATATTAAGTTTACTTTATATTTTACACGCAAGAGAGTTAGGCCATCAGGGAAATTATGGGCTCTGATTGTAACTACAATTTAATAGTGTAAATGAGCCACTCGATTGACCAATCATAAATATATATTTTTTGGTACTATTTTTTGATAAAATTACTCGGTCAATGATACATGTTATATTTTCACTAGAATAAAATTTTTGACAGTGTTCATAGAGATACACATGACATAATATTTTGTTTTTTTGAACTTAGATTAAATTTAAATTTGTGACTTTTAATAAAGAATTGTGGAGGATGGATGGCTGGGATGTTTTGCCTTTAAGCAGATCACTTAAAAACGTGCATAGGCGTTCATCATCTACACGATAAAATACACAAAGCACATAATTTTCTCATTGTGTGGGAACAATGGCACAATTACAATTTTTTTCCTCGCCGTATTGGAATAATGCACATGTATTTAATTAATTTATTTTTTGCTTTTTTTACGGCTCTATCTTTCAAATGTTGAGGAGTCCATGGTTATTTCAGTGAGATGCAAAAAAGAAAAAAACTTGCGGCAAGATTGAAAGAGCTTGTTTTTTATTATTTTCTTTAATTTCTTTTTATTCTTCTTTTGTCCTTTTTAATCTTATATATGTTTATGAAAGAGAGAAAAACTTTGAAAGTGGTTATAAAGAGAAAGAAAATTTGTTATTAAAAGAGAGGCAAAAAAAGAAAAAGTGAGATTGAAGTGGATTTAAGTAGATAGAGTGAATGAGGACTTTTTGAGAGGTATTTATTTGTGTTTGTCGGAGCTGATGATTTCATCAGCATTTGAAGTTGCGCTTGGTAGAGAGCGACAACTTTGTAGCTGGAGGATTCTGGTTTGTGTAGATGTTAGGGGATGATTAGTTTGTGTAGGTTTTTTGGATAGTGGGGTTGGTGGTAGGAGAAGCTAGGGAGATGTAGATTGCTGGTTGTTTAGAGCTTGTTGGAGATGATCGAGAGGTTGGTTTAGTGCTATTGTGGTGAGTGATGAAGGGACAAAGAGAAGGAGATGATGACAAGTTGAAGTTGGTGGGGCAGAGGCGGTGAAGCAACTAGAAAGTGGTTTCGAGGGAGTGATTGAGAGGGTGAGAATTAAGCAGGAAAGCAATGCTCGTGTGTAACAACTGAGAGATAGAGGGTGTGTGAGTTGATTCATGCGAGAGTTAGGGATGAGTTGGGGATTTATAAGAGGAAATTCTCTTTCTTGTAGAACTGTGTCGTGATTTCATGCGGTATATTGGATAGATAGGTATGAGGAGCAAAAATTTTGGAATTTTAATGGAAATCCAATGATAAAACTTTAAAATTGAAATTAAGTCTCATAAAATTAAAAATTTTTTTATATATATATATATATATATATATAAACTAATTTTTAATTTAATGTGACTTAATTTCAATTTAATTTAATGTTAATCTATTTTTTTCTCTTTGCAAATTTATCGTTCGACTTAAATTTCATGTCATCATCTTGCATGTGAGCAATTTTTGTGTGGTCGATAATACAATATGGATGTCCTTCTTGGCTAATTTCGATTTTTCGGGCATGTTCGTGCTATCTGTTTTACGAAATGGTGATGATCTTGTGCATTGGCATGATCTCACATTTGTAGTTCATTGCTCTTGTCGTGCGACTATTTGGTGATGCAAAATGTTCTATTTTATTTCCATCGAAGCTTTCTATTTATTTCATGCAATGCTGTTGTATTCAACGATAGTCATTAACTTCAATTTTGATTGGATTTTGATCTTTGTTGTCTTGTGTACATATACATAGGTCGACAACTACTTAAGAGAACTAAGCATAAACATGGCCTTAACATTTTAAGTATATTGATTTTCCCTTCAATAATATTCTTTATTTTAACTTTAGTTTTTCATTTATAACCATGATGTACACAATTTAAAGCATCAAACTAGCAAACTTAATTTTGAACTTTGCTGTATCTTTTATCTGTCGATATCCGCTTAAAAAATCTGTTGTCTTTGCTGCCTAGAAAATTCTAATTCATTTCTACGTCGGTCTTGCATATTGCTCTGCAGGATATTTTCCATTTCTATGTGATAATAATCTCATAGAATGGGTTGGTTGAGCAAGATTTTTAAAGGTTCAAGCCATAAAATTTCACACGGGCGATACCGTGGAAGATCAAATGATGGCGGGGCTTGGAATGAAACCTCAAATTCTTTGGTACTTACGTTGTCCAATAATGACTCACCTTCTCCTTTTTTTTTTTTGCAAATATTGAAATCTTTCATCACTTTTCATGTTCTCTTTGTCCATCTAAACTGTGATACTTGTGTTTATGAGAACCTCAAATCCTTCAATATTATAGGGGCAATCATATTGATATCACTTATTTTCCTATGCAAGAATAACATTTTGCATTATATGATTGTGAGATTAAATTGTTTGGAAAAATCTGCTTTCAGAACTATTTCATATATTCCTTTTCCAACTAAATGGTAATTTTCTTTATGAAATGGAGAAGTCCAACCAAATCGCCTCTTAGATCTTTCTATTAAGAGCATAAAGAGAAGACCTACCACTTGCAGGAGTCATATACCTTGGCAGTCATATTGACTTAGTTATTTTGTTTGTCATAGAACTTGGTTTTTGTCTTATTGGAATTATCACAAAAGGAAGTTATAAATGAAAATTTAGTCAGCATTTCTTAAGTTATTGAATTATGTAGGAATATTTTGCTAATATTGTGTTGTTATTAGTTAGTCGAAATAATTTCAATGCTACATGGACATATTGACAATCTACTTTACAATACTCCCCTCATGATCGTGAAATTGTGAAATGAGCACTCATAAGTTGGGGCTTTTTTTCTTCTTGGCTCTATACAAATTCAAAATATGATATTCTATTAATGTATGACATTTTAGGGTCCAAGATTTAAACCCAAAAAAACACAATTAATTATAATTTACAAGGGTCCAAGATTTAAACCCAAAAAAACACAATTAACTATAATTTACATATTCCCAACTTTTAATTTAAGCAAAGATTGAAAAATATGCTTTTTATTCCAAAAAGTAATCTAAAAGTCATCAAAATCGAAAATTTCACAAGATGTATGAGAATCAATATATTCTTTTTAAATATGATCAAAATCAATTGCTTTAGCATGCATGTTGTGTAAGATATTTACAACCCTAATTATGTTAACAATAGGTTTATTCTCAATTTCATCCTGAAATTTTAACACAAATGTATTTTGGCATTTCATATTTCCTAGTCACTTTTGGAAGTGATATAATATAAATTCCCCAAGGAATAAGTATTGCCACTAATTTTAAAATGATTGTACAATGACATAAAATATATTATTATGATTAGGATAATTTTGTTTTGCCTTATTTAATTTTCATTAAAATAAGCAGTTGGATATCCGTCCTTACTTAAAATGCCTCTAATTTCTGCACTTGATGCATTGCCAAATCTCAAAAAACTTATTAAAATATGGTTATTCTAGGATAGGTGCAATAGTTAGCTTCTCTTTAAAGTCATTCAAAACATGCTGGATTGATTTGGGCTATTCAATTTCTCAATCATTATATGTTTTCTGGTCATTCAAGGCCTTTTGCTTATTTCCTAAGTTTCTAGCACTAATCAAGAGTACAAGGATGTATTTGTAATAAAAAAATTGATGAGAATTTGTGTTAAATATGCTAAAATTTAAATTTATGTTGCTTTTGCTATCCTGTCCATATTTTGGAGCTTTTATTCTTAACTTCTATTTTGTGAAATGGAGGTTCAGGAGTCTCACTTTCTATTGCTTCTTGTTTATAAGCTAATTTCTTTTGAATGAATTTTTTAGTAGCCGTTCTCAGGATATGAAAGTGAAGATTTGGATCATGCTATTGCACTTTCCCTTTTAGAGGAAGAGCAGAAAAAGGCAAATGCTTCTGGTCAGTGTTTTGTCTACTATTATTTTTACTGAACTTCACTATTTATGCTTTATTCCTCTTTGATCCATTTTTTAATTGGTATCTTGGCTTCATATTCATTCTAGTCAACTTGATTATAAGAGTTCATTTTGGTTTGATAAAAACTTGAAGTTTTTACGCGAAGCCTTTTTGTTTTTGGTTTAGCTTGAAGTAATATTGAAGAAGTTTACATCATAATTCATTTTCATTCCAATTCAGCTGAAAAAAGAAATTATTTACACATTGTTCTTTAGATCACCATCATTAGCCATATCTCAAATATTTGTTGTTAACTTTTTGAATTTGAATTCTTTGTTCACTTTTGTTGAGTATTGCTTATATTATTTGTGATGGTGATATAGATTGGGATGTTATTAGTGGAATTCAAGCTAGTTGGTTGAAGTGGAGGAATGCATTGGTCCGATTATGTGATAGAAAAGTACCACTTATATTGAAAGGAAAATTTTATAAGACGGTGGTGAGACCTGCAATGCTCTATGACACAAAATGTTGGCTTTTAAAAGAGAAACATAAAACAAAGTTAAGTGTTGTTGAGATGAGAATACTTAGGTGGATGAGTGGCTTGACACTTAGAGACAAAATGTGAAATGATTATATCTGTGATAGGGTTGGTGTAGCTCTAGTGGCAGACAAGTTTAGAAAGAGCCGTCTTAGATGGTTTAGTTACGTTAAACGTTGACCATCTGATGATCCAGTTAGGAGAGTAGATGTTTTAGATTCGACTTAGGTTAAGACAAGCAGAGGTAGTCCTAAACAGACTTGGGCAGGTTGTATAAAAATGATCTTAATATATTAGATTTAAATGAAAATATGACACTCAATAGGACACAATGTAGAAAAAGGATTCATGTAGCCGACACCACTTAGTGAGATAAAGACTTATTGTCATTGTTGTTTTATTGCTTATAATATTAAATATATTTATGGGCAATTTTTTTCTACTTCCATCCATTTTAACTTTGATGTCACTCTTGCCTTAGTAATCCTTTTATATTACTTTTATACCTATGGTATCGTTGCATCTTCTGCTCTCTATTATATATGCCCAAATCACTTGAATCTTTTTTTTATTATGTTATTTTAAGTAGATTCTATTCCCACAATCCCTTTTAAAACTTTTTCTTATTTACTCTTTCTAATATTAGTTGTCTATTTTTTGTTTTGAATGTGTTTCTCTTTAGTACTTTGAATTAGATCTATTTTCGTCTTTTAAATAAATGTTAGGGGATATTATGTCATATCTTAGGTCATGCTATCCTATAAATTGTTCTCATATCGCATTATGACATTATAAATGATAGATGCAAACTATTCCCTTTTAGAGAATAGTACTTTTTTATTTACTATAATTGTTTTATTAATGCTTAATTTGCTTGTAGAAGCTTATTATGCATGTTCTCTACATATATCGTCACTCTTTTTCAATGTCTTTATATTCATAAACAATTTTCACCATCAACTTGTTGCAAATTTCTATTATGTTTGCTCTTTTGTGTTACTTGATATTTCATCAAAACCAACCTTTTAGGCTATATTTTATTTACTTTCTCATATGTTGATCTTCTTCATGATTTTGTAGAAATTGAATTTAATGTTGACGAAGATGAACAGCTCGCTAGGGCTTTGCAAGAAAGCTTAAATGCCGAATCACCTCCGCGACAAAGTATAGACTCGCCCCCTCGAAAAAGTATAGAATCTCCTTCACCAGAAAATATCGAATCACCTCCCCGACAAAATATCGAATCTCCTCCTCGACAAACTATCGAATCACCTCCTCGGCAAAACATAGAATCACCTCCTCGTCGAAATGGGCCCATCTATCAGCCACCATCTTTCTTCTTCCCCACGCAGTCCAGGTGTTGTTTGGAGAGCAATTTCTTACATATGAAATTTCCAGTTTTTGCCTGTGATCATAGTACATACCGCACAATTCTTATGTATTTGCATATCTACACCGAAATAATCGTATTTACATGCATGCCACACAAATATTTAACATCACACAAAAAATATCACCATCACTATCTTTTTAAAAGTGAAACACACTGTCATGCATAGGTTTTTGATACCGAGTGTTAAAAGTGTAAATATGAAACTTTATATGTTATATATGTAAATATATAAGCATCATGTGATATGTATATAAATTTCTCATTGTTGTTTTGGGCATGAACTGACATTATTTGGTGTAGGGTTTGTGCTGGGTGCCAAAATGAAATTAGTTACGGACGATTCCTCAGCTGTATGGATGCCGTTTGGCACCCGGATTGTTTTCGATGTTATGCTTGTGATCAACCAATAACTGATTATGAGGTAAAAATTTAAAAATTGCAATAATAGAATTTCTTCAAGAACTTTCATTTTATTTCATGGAGATTTTTTATGCAGTTCTCTATGCATGGAGATTACCCCTATCACAAGTCTTGCTACCGGGATCTGTATCACCCAAAATGTGATGTTTGTAGACAATTTGTAAGTTTTCAACGCACTCAACTTCCTTTTATTCATTAAAAAGGAAAAAAAAAAACATAAAAAGATGCAACGTTCCCTGTTGTTTTTTTAGGGGGGACATTTACATGCACATGTGACACAACAACTAGTGCAAAATTTTTTGTCGAAAAATCATGATATAACATAAATCTAAATATTGGCTTATAAAAGGGAAGCTTAAAACTAAATTAATTGTTGCTGAGATGAGAATGCTTAGGTGAATGAGTGGCTAAACACTTAGAGACAAAATGTGGGCGTAGCTCTAGTGAAAGACAAGATTATACAGAGTTGTTTTAGATGGTTTGGTCACATAAAACATCGACCATCTGATGATCTGGTTATGAGAATAGATGTTTAGATTCGACTTATGTTAAGAAAGGTAGAGGTGGACCTAAAAAAACTTGGGCATGTTGTGTAAAAAAATGATCTCAATTTATTAGAATTAAATGAAAATATGACATTTAATAGGATAAAATGGAGAAAAAGGATTCATGTAGCCGACCCCACGTAATGGGATAAAAGCTTGTTGTTGTTGTTGTTGTTTTTAACATTTACATACATTCCACCAAATTCTTATGTATGCACATATCTAACACCTAAAATTTGTTTTTTTACTTTTATACCGCCTTAATCTTTTATTTTGCATAAAAATATTCCACTATATTGACTTAAGAAAATGGTAAAACACACCTTTTATTGTATAGGTAAGATGCCATATGTGTAAAAATTAAAGTTTGTGTTAGATGTATAAATACATAAGAATTGAGTGGTATGTCTGTAAATCTTCCTTTTTTATTTCAACAAGATTTTCAAAATATTTGAGATTTATATCTTGTTTGGTGAGTTTTTTTCAACAAGTTTTTAAAAATATTTAAGATCATTTTCCTTGGCTATAAATACACCGCACCTTACCAAGCCATTACATGCAGAAATCATATGAATGCAATTCTGCTACTTTAATCTCTACTGTCCCTACTTTCTCAGACTATACGCAAACATAACATACATTAACAAAAATGGAAAATTTACATACATACCACACAATTTTTAGGTAGTTACATATCTTAACACCCCAAAATTTGATATTTACCGTTATAACACCTCGGTGTCATGAGAAAAGATGTATTTTCACTTTTACATAGGTAGTTTTGGTGGTATTTTTTATGTGATGTTAAAGATTTGAGTGTTATGAACCTAATTATGAATGTTTAGATGTCAGATATGTAGGCTGTGAGATATAGGCATGTAGCACATGTCTTAGGGTTGATTATGATGGATTTGTGTATGTGGAGGAAATATTGCGTGTGGATAACGTGCATACGAATTGGTGGTATTGTGGTAGCATTGTGATGAATATCACCACAATACTACCGAATCCGCACTTATCCGAACCTAACCTGTCCTCGCGTAATATTTCTTTGTGTATGTGGGGGTGAAACATGAGTAGACTAACTAGGAATGAGAAATTACTTTAATTGTTCTTTATTACAAGAATGAAGGATGAAAATTATATAATAAAACTTGTTAAAAACCATTGTATGTAATGCATGGGCTATTGTTGGTCAAGAGGTAGGGGACTAAAAGAGAAAGAATAAGGAAAATTTACATACATACCACACAATTATTGAGCATTTACATATCCAACCCCTAAAGTTTGATATGTTCATACATTACATTGATGATGAACTCATTCTTGCAAGTTTGTTTATTTCATAAAATTTACATCTTTTATGTAGATTCCACCTAATATGAACGGGCGCATCGAGTACCTAGCGCATCCATTTTGGATGCAAAAGTATTGTCCTTCACACGAGCGCGATGGCACTCCGAGATGCTGCAGTTGCGAAAGAATGGAGGTCAGCATTCTGCATAAGCCATCTCAATGTTTTAAAAGCCGACAACTTGTTTCTCAATCAAAAAATTTGTCAGGAGATCATTTTAGTCCCAAAATCTATAAAATGCCCATTTAGTCCCCATACTTTTTTTAATAGCCCCCAAACTCTTAAAATTAGCTGAAAGTCTGCATGGAGTATTATTTGCGTTTCATTATAAAGAGTATGGGGCCTAATTTAACACTTATATAGACTATGGCACTAAAATGATCCCATGTAAATAGCCAGGGACTGTGCAATCGCAACTAACCTTTCATTCCTTTATGCCTACTCTTGTTATTTCGAATCTCTTACTCGCTATCTCTTTTATTCCCACACAATTTTTAGGTAGTTACATATCTTAACACCTCGATGTCATGAGAAAAGATGTATTTTTACTTTTAAATAGGTAGTTTTTGTGGTATTTTTTATATGATGTTAAAGATTTGACTGTTATGCACCTAAATATGAACCTAATTATGAATGTTTAGATGTCAGATATGTAGGCTGTGAGATATAGGCATGTAGCACATGTCTTAGGGTTGATTATGATGGATTTGTGTATGTGGAGGAAATATTGCGTGTGGATAATGTGCATAAGAATTGGTGGTATTGTGGAAGCATTGTGATGAATATCACCACAATATTACCGAATCCGCACTTATTTTAACCTAACCTGTCCTCGCGTAATATTTCTTCGTGTATGTGGGGGTGAAACATGAGTAGACTGACTAGGAATGATAAATTACTTTAATTGTTCTTTATCACGAGAATGAAGGATGAAAATTATATAATAAAACTTGTTAAAAACCATTGTATGTAATGCATGGGCTATTGTTGGTCAAGAGGTAGGGGACTAAAAGAGAAAGAATAAGGAAAATTTACATACATACCACACAATTATTGAGCATTACATATCTAACCCCTAAAGTTTGATATGTTCATACATTACATTGATGATAAACTCATTCTTGCAAGTTTGTTTATTTCATAAAATTTACATCTTCTTTTATGTAGATTCCACCTAATATGAATGGGCGCATCGAGTACCTAGCGCATCCATTTTGGATGCAAAAGTATTGTCCTTCACATGAGCGCGATGGCACTCCGAGATGCTGCAGTTGCGAAAGAATGGAGGTCAGCTTTCTGCATAAGCCATCTCAATGTTTTAAAAGCCGACAACTTGTTTCTCAATCAAACAATTTGTCAGGAGTTCATATTAGTCCCAAAATCTATAAAGTGCCCATTTAGTCCCCAGACTTTTTTTAATAGCCCCCAAACTCTTAAAATTAACTGAAAGTCTGCATGGAGTATTATTTGTGCTTCATTATAAAGAGTATGGGGCCTAATTTAACACTTTTATAGACTATGGAACTAAAATGATCCCATGTAAATAGCCAGGGATTGTGCAATCGCAACTAACCTTTCATTTTTTTATGCCTACTCTTGTTCTTTCTAATCTCTTTCTCGCTATCTCCTTTATTCTTTTTTTTTGAATAATGAGATCAGGTTAGAGACACGAAATATGTTACGTTGGACGATGGGCGGAAGCTGTGTCTCGAATGTTTGAATTCTGCAGTAATGGATACACATGAGTGCCAACCTCTCTATCTCGATATTCGGGAATTTTTCGTAGGTTTAAACATGAAAGTAGATCAGGAGATTCCATTGCTTTTGGTTGAGAGACAAGCCCTGAATGAAGCCATGGAAGGAGAAAAACAAGTATGAAACTCTTATGATTTTATTTTTTTTTTGAAGATTTACATACATGCATTACCACTTAATTCTTATATATTTACATATCTAACATTAAAATTTCAATTTATATATATATGCTGCCTACTTATGCATGAAAAGGTGCACTTCACTTTTTAAAGTTTGAAACAGTCGCATTGTTTATGTAATATGAAAGATTTGGGTGGTATAAACATAAAAAGTAAAGTTAGGTGTTAGATATCTAAATACATTGAAATTGGGTTGGTATTTATGTAAATGCCTCTCTTTTCTTTCATAATAACTCCCTAAACACTGGAATAATTGTTTTCAGGGACACCATCACCTTCCTGAAACTAGAGGTCTTTGCCTATCAGAAGAGCAAGTTGTCAGCACAGTAAGTTCTTTTTATTCAGCGCCCATTCAGTTTGGTTTACTGCTCTTGAAATGCAATTTTATCAACATTTATGAAATTTATCTGTCCTGTATTGTATTGTTTTTGTAAATAAAAAAAAAGAAGAAGTTGGAATATTTGCATGCATACCACTCATATCTTATGTATTTACATGTCTAACACCTAAACTTCGATTTTTGCATTTATGCCACCTTTCTTATGTGTGAAAAATGTGTATTTCACTTTTTAAAAGTTAAATGGTGGTATTTTTTATGTGGTATGAAAGATTTGGGCGGTATGAATGTAAAAAGAAGATTTTAGGAGATAGATATGTTAATATATAAGAATTGGGTCATATGCATTCAAATGCCCCAAATAAATTTCATTAATATGGCATTTCACTTAACAAAACTCTTAGGGGCCGTGTGGGATCAATTAAAATTTATTTTTGAGTGTTTTTAAAAATACCACGCAATTCATATGTATTTACACATCTAACACCTAAACATTCATATTTACATGCATACAACTCAATTCCTTAACATCACATAAAAACTTCCACCATCGCTACCTTTTGAAAGTGAAATGCACTTTTTTTGCATATGTGATAACACTGAGGTGTAAATATCAAACTTTGGATATTACATATGAAAATACATCAGAATCATGTGTGTATATGTAAATTTCCTAAGATAAAATTGATCCCCAACTGACACTATCAAAAGAGCCACTCAGTGCTCATTTGAAATAGTTTTGCCGTTCATTGAAGTTCCCTTAAAAGTCGTGTCCGGAGAATAGACATCGACATATGTGATCTAAAACCATGAAAAATTATTATTCTGTTGAAACAACTTCGGGAAACTCTGTGAGTCGCCATTTACTGCAGTTGAACAGAACTTCACTGCTTTCTCAAACGAGGCTTTAGAAATATGTTTGTTGTTTTCATTCACGGATTTAATCTCTAGATACTGCGGCGGCCAAGGTTTGGGTCAGAATCTGAAGTGGTTGAGATGATTACAGAACCATATAGGCTTACCAGACAGTGTGAAGTAACAGCAATTCTCATTCTCTATGGTTTACCAAGGTACACACACTCCTTTGAAATTTAATTTTATGAAGTTCCAAGCTAATAATGATTTACAATTTTACATACATACCACCCAATCCCTATCTTTTTTCATATCTAGCACTAAAAACTTTATTTTTTTAGATTTATGCACATAAAGTGGAATACATCTTTTCATGCATATATATAAGGTGGATTGAATGTAAAAAATTTAAGTTTAAGAATTGAGGGGTATGTATGTAAATTTTGCAAAAAAAAATCCGTTTATTTGGTTGCTTCATAAAGTGGAATACATCTTTTCATGCATATATATATATATATATATAAGGTGGATTGAATGTAAAAAAATTAAGCTTTAGGTGTTGGGTATGTAAACACATAAGAATTGAGGGGTATGTATGTAAATCTTGCAAAAAAATTCCGTTTATTTGGTTGCTCAAAAAATCCGCTTATTTGATTGCTTATGATGTTCTGATTTGGACAATCTTTTCTTACAGATTACTGACAGGGTCTATTCTTGCGCATGAAATGATGCATGCATGGCTACGACTTCAAGGTGCATTTTCTTATCTATCTACCCATGTTAATTAAAATATTTATGTTTGTGAAGAAAGTGGTTGGACATTTTGATCCATTGAAAAATTTTTGGTGAAATTACACTCAACCTTCAAAACTGCCTATTCACAACAAAATTGTAGAAGAAAAAATGAACCATCAGAGCTGCGTATTTGCGTTTGTCATGATCGGATCATTGAAAATTTGACAAAAGTAAAAAAGAGATGGGGCGAATATTGTAAGACTGGCGAGCACTTGAAAATTGTGTGGTAAGACAAGAGAAAGTATTACATCCGGGCATGCTAACGCTGGCGTGAATCGCGCCACTCTGTCGAACGCATGACATGATGCGATATACAACATTAGTGGACGTAATACTTTCTCATAAGACAGATAAAGTCAAATTTCAAATTATTATTCATAGAATTGCCCCTCTTGTTTTTTTTGGCGATAACCAATAGGCTATGGAGGCCTCAGTCCAGAAGTGGAAGAAGGCATTTGTCAGGGTCTAGCTCACATGTGGATTGAATCTGAAATCATGTCTGGCTCTGGGAGCGATTTTGCTTCTTCTTCGTCGTCAACTTCCTCGTCCAAAAAGAGCTCAAGATCGCAATCCGAGAGAAAGCTCGGAGAATTCTTCAAACGACAAATCGAAGCAGATTCTTCTCCTGTATATGGAGATGGTTTTCGTGACGGAAATGAGGCAGTGATCAAGTATGGTCTCAGGACTACTCTTGACCATATAAAGTTGACTAAAAATTTTCCATACTGATTATATAAAAGCCTGATTTTTTCTCTTCATGTAAGTTCCAAAGCTCAGACTTTTGAGTTTTCCATTCAGCAATGACTGCATAAACCAAAGTTAACATAGAAAAATGATATGTTAGGTTTACATATTATTATTTGGACTAATCATTTGTTCTGAAAATTTAATATATATAGTTTATAGTGAATAAAGCTGTTGTCATCATTTTCTATGCTCCTATTTTTCTTTGGAAAATATTTCATTTGCATGAACTTAGTTGAAGAATATTTTATGTTATATATGTCATGCTTAAAGTATCATATGTCAAGTATAGTCATGAACAAATATCAATCTACATTTAAGTTGTCATCATAGCAACTAGAGAGCCAAAGTAATTCATGTATCGAAGATGTATGCATAACATCCAACTCTTATATTGTCTTGGAGCGACCCGGGAGCTTGGAATTACTAAGACAAGAACTGTTGGTCAGACAGAGAAAAATTATCTAACAGTTTCATTTCATAATTAAAATGAAATTCAAAGCAGTTCGTACACACTGGCACACACACACGCACGCTCTCGCTCGCACGCACACACATACATATTGGAGAACTCCAGAGGGAATATGGTAATCCAAGCATATCACCTGAGAAACTTTCTAAGATCATCACCAAACTGATTGCTGACACAAACATTATTTCTTAAAGCTCCGGATTTAGCAAGGAAATCAGCCGGTTTATTCGCCTCTATAGTTGAAACACCATCTAATATTAAACAGTGTCAAAATACTCATAATCTTCCCCCACAGAATTCCAGTATATCATAAAGGTGTAGTTAGCCCCAAACAAACTTGAAATGATTGCAAAGATTCCATTTCGATGCATAAGTTCCATACCCGAAGCCTCTTAGCAATCCATAAACAAAAATACACTGTAATTAATTCAGAAAAACCAGTAGAAATAACTTCACAGGGCGCATAAAGATCAAACAGAACTTCACTGAACCAATTTCTACAAATACCTCCCAACTCCAACAGTCCCCAATTTAAAACTGCCATCAATATTTACTTTAAAAAATGGCTTTTCTGGCATGTTCCAAACAACCAGCTTACAATTATTTCTCTTTCCAACATCTCTATTATCCATTCCATCAGCATTTCATAAAGAACTATCAGAACAAATAAACTTCTGGATTTTGAAAATGAAAGCATTAATACTTATAACTATTCTAGCAGCAGGATTAGCATCTTCCTCATGCTTTAGTTGGTTCATCTCCATCAAAAGAAACTAACAGCATGCATAAGGAATAGAGTTCATCAATTTATTCAAAGAAGAATCTCCTTCCTAGCAAGCTGAACATTGGCTGAGAGAGATATACCCATGTATAGGTAAAAAATTCCCAAACTGAGCACACCTCTTATTCCATATAACTAAAGAGTAAGAATCTCCTTCCTAGCAAGCTGAACATTGGCTGAGCACACCTCTTATTCCATATAACTAAAGAGTACTTGCAAGAAAAGAAAGTATGCACAAATATTTCCTCATACTGTTTGCATGGAAGACAAATAGAAGCCATTTTAAGCCCCTTAAGTCTCAGTATATCATCCATAGGAAAAAAAACGAAAATTTCATCCTCCATGTCAAAATCAACTAAGAATGCTTTAAGAACCTATTCCATATGAGATTCCCATTTTGCTGATTATGACAATAATATAACCCTTTAGCAATAAACAATACTTTTGGTAACTGAATGTCTACCCACAAATTTACATTTAAGCACATCCTTCTTACTTGTATCAAAAGGAATTCTAACCACTTAATCCACCATCTCCTTATTCAAAACCTGATTTCCTAAGTTTTCCCTTATCCCAACTGCCATGATTCCAAAAATCTGAAATTGTAAAATTGCTAGCCATCATATCCTGATAAAACAACACACAATGGGCCTTCAAGGGTCAAGACACTTTGTAAAACACTTGCCCAATTTAACTTGCATGCTCTTAGTCATCTTAGTGACTTGTAAAACATAAAGAGGAAGAGATGTCAAGACATTTTGTAGACGAGTAATTCTTCCACCAAAAGAAAGAAATGAATTTTCCCCGCTCAAAATACGGCTATTCATCTTATGCATCACATCAGCAAAATGAAGATTTTTCTTCAGTATAAGCTAAATGAGAAATAAATTCCCCACCTTTAGCTTTATATCTCCCACCATTATAAGCCTCCATATAGTTATTGAACTTTTTGGAAAGATAGTCCATAGCAACAATAAATAAAGTTAGTGATAAAGGATCACCTTGCCTTAAACCCCTTCTGAATTTGAAATGCCCATAATACTTCCCATTAATCAGCATAGAATAATAATGGTTATCTAAAAGCATCAAGACAATATTGCAGAAATCCCCATTAAAGCTTCTCTGATGAAGTACCTTGATAATAAGATCCCATATTATACTATCATAAGCCTTCCTTAAGTCCAATTTAATATCACCATTACCACCTCTACACTGTTTATCAATGTTCATGATAAGTTCTCGTGCTATCAAAACGTTCTCAATCATACTTCTACCAGATATAAAAGCTATTTTCTGACGAGATATTAAACCATCCAACACAAGCTTAAGTATATTAACAATTATCTTGCTGATGACTTTAGAAATCACAGTCGTTAAATTGATGGGTCTAAAATCATCACATTTATGATTAAACCTTTCCTTAGTAATAAGAGTAATAGTAGAGCACCCGAAATATTTACGAGGAAGAAGCCCATGACATAACTATTGAATAACATTCACCAAACGAGTCTTCAACATATCCCAAGATCTGATATAGAATGCAAAAGTAAAGACATCCGGACCAACCACTCTGTTAGAATCAATAGGCTTTAAAGCTTCAAAAATATCAACCTCTGTTGGCTGTGAAGAAAGATCAGAAAAGTCAGAGAATATTTACAACTGAGAGAAAATAAAAACTAACATTTTTTTTTTCATGTAAGTTTCATATTTAATAAACAAAAATAATGTTTGGTTTACATATTATCATTTGGACTAATCATTTGCATAAACTACTCAAAGAATAATTTTATGTTTACATATGCCATGCTTAAAATGTCATATGTCATGTATATAGGCATAAACAAACATTATTTTACATGTAGGATGTTTGTCATCATTGCAACTAGAAAGCCAATGTAATTCATGTCTCAAAGATGCATTCATACGACCTTACTCCTATATATATTTAGACATCTAGTACCTAAACTTTATTTATATATATATATATAT